CGTTAGCATCGTCCCAGCTAATGCTGTAGTCCCCGCGCCGCAGCATGGGCGGCAGATGCGCCAGCTGGTCGTAGCACACCCGAGTGTAGGTGGTATGGCAATTGATCACGACCCCATCCCAGATGAGGCGCCGCTTCAGCTCCCCCAGCTTGCTCTCCTCCACCACACCTACAGCAGCACCGCGGCAGGAGTGGCGGGCCATGAAACACAGCCTCAAGGCTGCCATCCGCCAGTCCCGCTTGCCAGCGCGCCCCCCCCAGAGCAGAGGGCCTTACCCAGAGGCGCCACATGGTGGGGCGGCTGCTCAAAAGGCCATTCCTTCACCGCGCCAGAGCGCTTCCACTCCTCCACCTGCTCCACCGCCCACGCCTCGTGCTTGGCCAGAGAGGCATGGTTGGGCAGCTGGATGGGTGGTGGCACGCTCCCTGCGCCAGCCACAGCAGGGCAGGGCAGGGGCCAAATCCCGCTAATAGTGTAGCTGGGCCGTGGCCACCCCGAGCCTGCCCCCACCCTTGGGGCACGACATGCCCAACATGTCCAGCTCCCGCGGCACGCCCACCCGATAGGAATTGCTCCTGCGCCTCTTCCTCACTGATTCCCACAGTGCGTGAGATCATGCGCCGCGCCCGCATCAAGTTCTGCTTGTAGCGGGGGTGCTCCTGCTGCGCCGCGGCGAGGGGGCTGGTGAGGGGCAGGCGGAAGCCGCGCTGCTGCCCGCTCAGCACCAGCTTGGAGGGTTTGCGCAGCTCGCCACCGTCAGACAGTAGGGTGCGGATGGCGGGCAGATGCGGGCGCAAGCAATGGGCAACAAAGTCGCCCTTGGGCCGCAGCAGGGCGGTACGGCGGGAAATCTGGTCCGCGTCCGTCGCCGCCACCTCACCCGGTGGCAATGCCAGGGCCAGCTCCAGTTGCTGCAGCTGGGCCCGCACCGCTGCCTCCTGTAGCACCCAGCAGAGGGCATGGGGGCGCTTCGTCACCCGCGCCATGCGCACCCGTGGACGAGGCTCAACCAGCTCCTACCCAGATGCAGGGTCAAAAGGCAAGGCCCGGGCCCCTCAGGGCGCAGTCCCGACACCAGCCCGGCAACCTGCCTGTGAGGCATCCTCCAGCACCACAGGAGTGGTAATCTCAAAGAAAGCAGGGTCAGCCGCGCGCAGGGCCTCTACTGGCACGAAGCCCCCTGCGGCCGCCCGCTGGGCATGCTGCAGCGCCAGGCTGTCAGGCGCCAAGCAGTCAGTACCGAGGGCATCCACCACCGCCTCAGGGTCACGCTCCTGCGATTCCAGCGCCACCGCGGTGTGGTTCTGCCATGCGCTGCCCACCTCCACCTCCCGCCACAGCAGCCTGCTGGCGCTGGCCCCCTGGTGCCGGGCCTCCTGCTGTAGGGGCTCCGGCAGGTGCTGCAGCTGCCCCGTGGCCTGGCCGTACTCCAGCGCTTCCAGCAATGCCTGGGGGTGCGCCATGGCCAGTCTGCTCAACAGCTCCCGCTGATGCCGCTGGGCATCACGCTGGTCCAGGCCCCAGCATGCCGCCAGCGCAGCCAGGGTGCGCCACCCTGTCGGCGGTTCGGGGGCGCCGGCCGCGCCGCCAGGCCCCCGCTGCAGCCCGGGGGACGCCTCCGGCGCCCCCACCCGGGCGGGCAGTTCAGGCTGTGTGAGCGGCGCAGCGGGGGTGGCCTCTCCCGAGCGCTGCGCTACGTGTCCCGCTGGGCGGCAGGGCGGCACCCGGGCACCAGCAGTCGCTGCCATCCGTGACCTGCGGTGCAGCCAGGGGGCGCCCGTCGGTCACTTCCTGCCACCATCCTCGCACTAGCCCTGAAGGGTGCAGGCCGGAGCCATTTACACGCGTACAGGGTGGGACAGTGCCCGATCAACTCAACCGCTTGAGCAACCCGCGAGTCGGGCGCTGACTAACAAGGAAGCAGGCGGCCGCCGCAGCAAGCAGCCAGCGAGCGCAGGTCAGGGCTGGCATGCCGCGGCTCCCGCGGAAAGCTTCGGCAGCGTGGCCGCTTACGGGGCGGGCGTGCCGGAGCGGGGGGGGACGTGCTTGAACTTGCATTTGTCGCCATAGTTGCAGGCCCCGTTGGCAGCAAACTGGCGGCAAATCTGCTGGTCCGTGCGCTGGTCCGTGCGGGCCGCCTTGGGGTAGCCAGCGCCGCCAGCCGACGGCTGGGCCTGCGGCAAGGGCCAAGCATGCCGGCCCGGTCAAGACAGCCCCCTCTGCCAGTGCCACACATGCCTGCCCAGGACGGGGTGGCTGCCCGGTCTGCCACGCGCTCGACGGGCATGCCCGGCGCGCACCAGCCCTGCCCAACTGGCGCTTGGCCGGGCGCGGGGTGACAGCGTG